TATATATATATATTACCTAACTAACCCAAGTCTAAAAAGGAAGAAACCGTAAGCTCTGAAAAGCTGATGAAACTGACAAAAATCTTATACGATATCAGATTCTCCGATTGACTAAAGTCAACTCTTTCAACGTAAACCTTTTTAAAAGGGAAAAACTTACTCAAAGCTCTTTCGACTACCTCAGAAAGTGTGCCACCCATCTCGATACACCACATACACTACATATAAGCTATGGAAATAGGCAAAACAATAAATTTACACAAAAACAAGTAAAGGACCACGAGGTCATTACCTTTTAGCATATTGTCAAAATAAAGTTGTGGTCAATTCTCGTGACGAGACAATATTGTTCAGCATCAAGGATAAATAATTAGTACTTTTTAATGATTCCTAAGTTCCATACAATGAATAGCAAATAATGTGTCTATAGGAATACATATTTATTAGAAATCACTTATGTTAGTGTGAAATATAAGTTGTTTTAAGGAGAGTTTTGTAAGACCAATTCTCCACACACTTAAGAACCAAACAATGTTTATGACTGGAAAAAAAATGAGAATCAAAATCAGTTAAATGGTTAATTGTATGACTTATATGTTGTCTAGATATACATCAAATCTCAACGGTTCAAAGATATTAAATCTAACAATTGACTGAGTATATCCGATAACTGTTCATTCAGAAAATTCAAAAGAAAACCTACTTATTCAAATGCAATTAATCCTTAATTACGAATTACACAATTTTTCCATGCATATGTTTTACCAATATAGTTATTCCCCATTCATGTGGGAAATTGTTAGATTTTTATTAAAGTTGAAATCTTAAAAGAAGAGGTAGAATGTCAATTGGAAAATGGAGGGAAATAAGGTGCAGGGAAAATAAAGTTCATTTCTCTCTCATTGGTGGTGGGTGATAAGAAGGTTTGTTGTGTTTTTAAATAGAAACACTCATTCTAGTATCAAAAAGCTAAGAAGAGGGTCTCCCATCGCGTTGTCAGCGTTATCCATAACCTCAGATATGGTAATAGGATTAAATTCCTTTAAGATGCCTAGTAAATTCTGTGATTTCGAATATTTATTCTTTTCCTTTTAAAAGTTTCTTATTTCTATCTTTCCAATTATACATATTTTCTGATTTTTAAAATTTGAACACATATATATATATATATATATATAACTATTGATTGCTAGAAGCCAAAATTCCTTTGGTATGGTCCATTTATAACACATATATGGGGTAGTGAAAGAAGGCCAAACACTAAAATTATGATTTATTTTGGCCAAAGACGTGCCACCTCTGCCATTCTCTTTATTTGATATGCAGGAACAAGCCAACATTAATACTTGTCTTGTAAGGAAGAGTTTCATTTTTAAATTTCATTAATGTGACTAATATCCTCCTCTTCTTGAAACTAGCTAATATACGTGGCTACTTCTCTTTTCACTCTTTCTTTTTCATTTCTTTTTCAGATCAAGGATGGGTCCCCGGTGTAATAATAGCGTGAAGAAAATATTAGGATCTATGACGTTTATATACTTTCTTCGTTTCAATTTATCTGATGTAATTTCATTTGCATGAAGTTTGGAAAAGAAAACAAAATTTCAAATTCGTAATCTAAAAGAAGTTATAATAGTGTGAAAGACAGTATTATGATCCGTGACGCTTATATATTTTCTTCATTTCAATTTATCTGATGTAATATGATTTGCTTGAAGTTTGAAAAAGAGAAAGAAGGAGTTTGAAATTTGTAATCTAAAATAAGTTATAATAGAGTGAAATACAATATTAAACTGTGACGCTTATACACTTTCTTTATTTTAATTTATCTGATGTAATTTGATTTGCATGAAGTTTGAAAAAGAAAGAAAAATGTTTGAAATTTGTAATTTAAAATAAGTTATAAATGTTTGTGTGGCTATAAATTATTTCATTAAGGATAAAATAGATATTTTAAAATTAAATTATTACTAAACATAAAATATGTTATTCATTAATTTTTTAACCCACTAAAGAAGGAACTTTTATAAATTGAGATAGAGAAAGTAACAAATTTAGAGTTGTCTTTGTTTGGGTCTACTAGGTGCTAGCTAGCAAGTAATGCGAGCTAGCCCTATGTCCCACATATATGATGAGATTAACTAGTATCCAATGACCGTGGTTGCTTATCTTACGTTGTCATGAAGTAATTCTAAGGTTTACAATATATAGGTAAATTTTCAATTATGTAACCTTTTAATATTTGATTACAAATAAGGAAACTAATATTATGAAGTAACTTGGACTCTTAAGTTTATTCTAGCTGAGTTTATTTAAGATTAGGACCCATCTTACCAAATATAAGAGCATGTCACACTTTTATCATCATTTTCATCAGATTAATTGTATCATTGTTTCTTCAACACCATCAAATTCATTTGAAGTAATTTGAGGCAATCAATAGCACAATTCTATAACTTTTTGTTCATTATTTTTTATATGAGAATTTAGAAATGTGTAGAATTAAGCAAGAAGGCTGTTTTTCTCATTAGTTCATTCAATTAGGGACACAACAAATTAAAATTATCTGACAATGTAAAATAAATTCTCAAGTGTATATTAGTTAATCTCGCACTAGAAATAGATGAGTAAAGCTTGAAGCTAAAGAAGAGATAAACAGGCTGACCTGGATGATATGGTGTGAAAGGATTTGACATCTAACCTAAAACCTTAAGGAAATTAGCGGAGCAACATTAATGTAATTTCATTGGGACATTCTCTCGCCTCTAGCTAATTAATAAGTAATACTTATCCGTCAATTTATATGACCAACTTTCCTTTTTAGTCGGTCCCAAAAAAATGATACTCTATTCGTTCAACTTTCCTTTTTAGTTGTCCATTATACTATTTTGGGATGTCCAACAACACTTGTCCACTTTATGAAATCAATGAATAATCTTACATTTAGTTCCTAATTTATCCTTATCATTAATTATAGTCATTTTTCTATTACATTTTTCGAGACATTGTATTTATTATATTCAAATGCTGATATAGTAAAATTACCCTTTTAATATTTTATTTAAAATATAATTAGACTTAATAAGTTTTTAATATTTTGAGATGAGTTAATATTAAGAATTTTGAATAAATAAAAAATTATCTTTTCAAAACAACTAATTAGTAAAAGAATTGGGATAAGGATCTGAAAAATACCTCAACTTTGGTCGGATTTGTTGTTGCGATACTAAACTTTCATAAGGACCTATTACCTCCCTAGACTATTTAATATCGTATTGTTTACCCCCTAAACTATTTAATAGTGTATTTTAAAAGTATATATGTGTCCACGTGGACACATATATACTTTTAAAATACACTATTAAATAGTTTAGGGGGTAAACAATACGATATTAAATAGTCTAGGGAGGTAATAGGTCCTTATGAAAGTTTTAGTATCGCAACAGCAAATTCGATCAAAGTTGGGGTATTTTTCAGACCCTTATCCCAAAAGAATTTAATTCAATTGAATTTGAGTTGAGAGTATTTTTAGACTAAAAGGTGGAAGGAGGAGTAATTTTTGAACCAAAAACACCAATGGAGTATATTTTTAGACCAAAAAGTCGATTGAGGGTATTTTTGAACCTTTTCCAATAGGTCAGGGGTATTCTTGACCCTTTTCCGTTTATTATATTCAAAGGTTGATATAGTAAAATTACCCTTTTATTTGTAGTTTTTTAAGAGGGGTGCAAAATCAATAGTGGACAAGTATAAATGAACAGAGGAAGTACATATTACTCCCTCTGTTAAAAAAAGAATGACCTCCTTTCTGTTTTAGTTTGTTTAAAAAATAATGACCTCTTTCTTTTTTTGGTAACATTTTAATTTCAGTTTTCCACGTGGCATGTTTAAAAGCCACAAGATTAAAAGGACAATTTTGTACATTTGACATAACTTTAATTTAGGACCACAAGATTCAAAAGTCTTCTTTATTTTCTTAAATTCTGTGTCAAATCAAACTAGGTCACTTTTTTTAAATAGGAGGAAGTACGATTTAACTTTAAAATGCTTATTTTACCCTTAATAAAATGATTTATAGTTCACAAACATCTATCACAACTACAAATTTTAAAAATCTTCCTTTCTTGTACGAAAAAGAATCGGGAGTATACACTGCTAGATTAGAAACAAAAAGAAATCGTGGATTGAAATGTAAATAATACATATTTAACGGCCTTTTGATTCATAATATTTCTCTTTTCCTCTTTACACAGAGAAATGGAAACCGAAAGTGGTAGGTAGGTAGGTAATATATAATACTATAAATTACAAATAAATAAACAAAAAAAGCAATGAAACGTAGAAGCAGATAAACTGTTAAAAGATAATAAAAGAGTAAAATTCATGCAGCACACACCACAAGCACCGGTGTTTGAAGGGGCTGCAAGTTCACTTGTGCTAGTTGCTCGCCAAGTCGCTCCTCATTCTCATTGTTGTTTGCCATCGATACTGGGACTACTCCGGGCGTGTTAATTCCTTGTTCATCGTTGGAATTAATGTCCTCGGAATCAAGAGGATGAATCTGTTCTGAGTTTATTACGAGCTCACACACTTTTTTCTCTAAATCTACCGATGGCTTCGCGTTTCGGTAAATTCCATACAACAACATTTGAATCATTCCCAGAAAGAAACCCAACACATTCGGCAGCTGTATAAAATTCAAATTAAGTTTTATGAGAATTTATTCTTTTAAATATAGTACAAATTAACTCTAGTACTACTATAAATAAATTTTAAAAAAATGATTACTTAGATCATTTTCTAGTTTAGTTTGGTTGAATTGTACGATGACGAAATTAATGTGGAACAATAAATGTATGAATATTAAGCAGTTGGTAAGCAATAAAGACACATCATGTTCATGTTCGAAATTAGTGGTTCTTTTTGTTGCCTTTGTAAGTAGGTTGGTTTTAGTTACCTTGTCTAAATAGCACGCAACCCAAATTGTTCAATGTACCAAATAATTAATGTAGAGTGTATATAATATTTTTTTTATATAAGAATTTTGACTAATATTTTACGATGTATTTTTTCATCATATTGATATATAAAAAATTGCAAATTATAGTATTTATTTTATAGCTTTTTAATATCTAAATTTTTTTATTTAAAATATTGAATTAATGTAATCTAATTTAATTTAAAAATTAGTCAAATTGACTTTCAAAAAACGGAACATGACAACTAAAAAGGAAGGTACATTTAATTAGGTGCAAGTACTTACTGCAATACACAAGTCCTTTAGAAGGAGTCCATAACCAAACCACATGATAGCACTCAAAGTAAGAAAGAAAGAGAGGGTGAAAGGCATGAATTCCACACTCTTTGTTCGAACCACTTGAAACTGAATTTTAAAAAAAAGAACATAAAAACTGTTAGAAATTGTAATTAATTAATTTTCGAATTGACATTATTAATGATAGATAATCCATCATGTCATGTTTAATTACCACGATGCTAAGAGGTGCTGCAAAAACACCCACTGCTACGGTTACACAAATCCAACCAACAACTTGTACGCGTAGGACTCCATTCAAAGGGAATAAAGTGATTAAAAATATGAGTGTGTACAATCCTCCGATCAATAATACCAAAAGCCGCACCGTCTGCCTCTGTTTAATTTGCATATTCAAAACATCAATCAATTTATATATGTAACACTTGTTGAAGATAAGGGAATTAAGCTGACAAGTTGAACAACATGGTACAATAAACCAGGGGCGGATTTATGTTGAACGAAAGGGGTTCATCCGAACCCCCTTCGTCGAAAAATTACACTATATATATAAGATTAAATTTTTAATATACGTGTATATATATATACTATTGAACTCCCTAACATACAGCAAAGGCGTAGCTCAGTGGCGTTGGGGGTCCATTGAACCCCCTGAACATACAGCAAAGGCGTAGCTCAGTGGCGTTGGGGGTTCAGGAATTCGCCCTACTACATGCGAGGTCGCGTGTTCGAACCCGGGCAGAGGCGTTTTTTTATCAGCTTATATTTTAGGCGTTTTAATCTTTTGCGTGTTTGAACCCGGGCAGAGGCATTTTTTTTATCAACTTATATTTTAGGCGTTTTAATCTTTAAAAATAATAATAATGCAATCAGAAAAACGATGTTTAGTTCCAAAAAAATTAAAACGCTGACTGGCAATTTAGAATTTATTAGTTTAATCCCTAATTATAAAATCAAATATTAAAAAACTCTTTTCTTCTTGATTCGACAGTTTAATCCGACCCGTTTATTTGTGGATATTATTTATGTGATTAATTTTTTTTTGAACCCCCTTGATGAAAATCCTCCCTCCGCCACTGTACCTAACTGCCAAGTTTAGCCAAGGAAGAGATGCTGGTGAACCCAGGAAAGTGTTCAAAGGAGAAATGACTCCTGCCATAAGCTCTTGTTTGAGCTGGTAAACAAGTACATCTTGCCCAGATGTGAAAGAAGGAATGAAGCAAATTGCTTGGACATGTTAGTCATGGATGTAATAGATCAAGGGATGCTGGTGAATCTGCCTTCTCTAATGGTGAAGCATATGACTAGGGCAACAGAAGGATCACATGCTTTGCCCTATGGGTTCTGGCTGACCAGGGTATTCACCCACTTTAAAGTTCCCCTGAATGTGGGGAAAAGGGGAGGAAAGAAGGACATGATCAGTAAGTCTACACTTGCAGAGTGTGACCTCCTTCCCAAGGCGCTTGGTTGTAAGAGTAATAGCTTGATCACACAGTTGATCAATGAACTTGAAGAGGCAAAGGCTGAAAAGGCAAAGGTAGAGGCTGAAAATGTAGTGTTGAAAGCAGAGGTTCAAAAGGTGAGGTTTTGGCACATCACAAAAGGCTGCAGCTGCATGAAATAATAAAATCCTAGCCCACATTTCCTCTCCTACCTCCTCCAACAAAGAACCCGGTCCTTATTTCCTACTGCTTCGTTATGTGTGGCAAAGTCCTATTCTTTCTAAGACCCCATTTGAGATGTTTTTCTAGTTTCTTGTCTGGTTTATAGTAAGTGGCAGTTATAAGCAGATTAATGTTACTATTCTTTAGTTGGATGCATGCATAAAATTTCCTTTGGCTTAAAATGATGTCTTTTTCTGACTAATATCGTTGGATTTCGTTTTGACAATTACTTGGCGATCCTATACCTAGTGGCCATGTGGTATAAGTTTGATATTCCTCACTTGATTAAATGTTTTTGCTTTTCGATGATGCCAAAAGGAGGAAGATAACATGATAACTGACTGTGTGGTTTGATACTGAAAACATTGATGATTACGATGGAGAAGGACCTGGTTCTTGGTTGCTTATACTAGAGATTTCTGATGAAAGAATCAGGTTCCTGCTGCAAATTTGGTTTTATGTATTATGTTAGGTTGTAATTCTGATTTTGCTTAATGGAAATTGAATTTTTTAATCTTGTCGTGTTTTGTAATATTCTTGTCACACAACAATCAATTTTGAATGTTTGATTAACGACATTTTCTTTGCATGAGATTTGGATTTGTACGATCCTTTATGTTCTTTTATCATTTTGTTCCATTTGAAATATTAAGGCTGATAACTGTTCTCCCAAGGAGTAACTTACCAGTTTCAAAAAAAAAACTGTTCTCGCGAGGAGCATCCCATTCTTCTGACTGAGGCACTACTTAACCATGAGGCGAATCGAGAGAAAATAATGTAAATCATTTTTGATACATTCAATGTTCCAGTCACATATCCCGCAATCCAGGCTGTTGGTTCTTTGTATGCTAATGATAACTACTTAACCATGAGGCGAATTGAGAGAAAATAATTCAAATCACATTTGATACATTCAATATTCCAGTCTTGTATCCCGCAATCCAGGCTGTTGGTTCTTTGTATGCTTATGGTAAGCAGAAGATGGAATACCATCATATTCTGGTTCTCTACTATTTTAATCTTTCACTAATTAATGTCATATGTTTTTTTCAGCAAGGCATTGTGCTTGTTTTCGGTGATGGTGTGAGTCATACTGTCCCTATCTATGAGGCACATGCACTTCCCCATGCTATCTCAAGGTTACATCTTGCAGAGCATGATCTTACAGGAAGATTGTCTTGGAGAAAGGTTACGCATTTAACTATTTCGTTGGTATTTGGCATATCGTATGAAGGAAACAATTGCTTTTGTTGCACTGGATTTTGAGATTGAGAAGGCAAAAAGTAGATCATCTGTGGTGAACGGTATGAGCTTCCTGATGGACAAATCATTAGTATTGGTGCTGAGAGGTTACATTGCTCAATGGTGGCTCAACTGTGTTTTCTGGCATAAACAGAATGTATATGAGCAAGGAAGTCACTGCTTTTGCTCCAAGCAGCTCGAAGATTGAGGTTCACCGCTTCACCAAGTACTACAACTGGATAGGAAGATCAGTTCTGCTTCCTGCAGTTTCTGGAAAAAAGTTGGTCTCACTTTGCTTTGTTTGACTGATCAATTAAATCAGCCTTTAAGTCTCGAATAATTGGTTCTAAGTTCTAACTATGAACATCTTCTTGTTACTCTTTTAAGCTCAATGGATTCAGCACCAATGTCGATGTCCCATGCATATGTGCATGACAGATGGCGAGTACGATGAATCTGGTTCCTCAAATGTCCACAGTAAGTGTCTCTAAGCTTGGTGAGCATTTACAATCCTCTTTAGTAAAATTTATCCATCAAATGAATGCTTCATTTTAAGTCACACTGACCTAAAATTCTGTTTTTTTTGTTTCTGTTGAAATGATACCCTATCACATAAATTTGGCTTGGCTTTATTACTTTCTTTGTAAGCTAGTATGCAAACTTTTCAAAAGTGTGGAATCTGGATTTGCTTTCCTTTCCCTTTTAGCAATATTTACCAGAAAATCATATATTTTTCAGAAGCTGAATTACCAACCCCTTTAACATAAAACAAAAATTTCTCTTTAATCAAGAAATATATTTATAATCATCATTATACAATACAATAAATAAGGTAAGTAAAGCAAGAACAGATTCATAGCATGTACCCCAGCCTATCCTTAATGCTGAAGAATACAATGTTTACCAATTCTCAAAAAAAAAAAATGGTGAATGTTATTCATATAATTATGATAAGGCTGTTGAGTTTCTTGAATGGATATTTAATAATTCAAATCAATTCTGTGTAGTACTCCAATGAATTAACTGAAAAAGCAATAGTTTATCGGTCTTCTTTCTATTGATTGGATAATAAATGTAGAATTAGATCAATTACTAAAATTCAAAAAGAAAGCTTAGTAAACACCAACTTCAATGTAGAAAAGCATAAAAATGTTTCATAATAAATATTGGAAAGTACTAATAACCATGATAGTGTTATAATAATGTGAACATTAAAGCTAATAAAGACACTGGAAATTTTGTTGCAAGTATACAATTTTCTTTCTTACTCTTGATAATAGAGAAGTTCTATCTTGACAAATCAAGGAAGTACAATTTTTTTCTTCCTATTATACCTTCAATTTATTTGCAATGAGTTAATGTCTTTAAAAAATGTAAAACTTTTTGAAAATCTTCAATGCCTTAAAGATCCGTAAAGTACCAAGCAATATTTAGAGATTGACATAACCCCTAAACTTACCCCAAAGGAGCGTTTTGATTTATGTTTTTACCAAAACATCTAACAGTCTAGGACAGGGGATGTAACCCCAAAAATAAGAAGAATACATAAGTCTAGATTGCTTGAGTCCGAATAATGGACTAAGAAGGTAAAAAGGAATTTGTAGCTGCCCGGAGGAAGTGAATCACCCTTGAATTCAGATAGCGGAGGTTTCACAGTTGAGGTTGCGAAGCAGCTGCCTGAAGATGCCCTGTACTTAAGTGCAAGTGCAGTATCAGTACACAACCACAATATACTGATAGGATCATCGGTTAGTTTAAGTATACAAAATATGGGCAGGCAACCATAACTCAATAAGCACATGATACACAATTACAACACAAATACAAAATAATCCGGAAGTGATATGCATAGCAACATGAATCATCACAACACAACAAGCTAGTTCGATTCTCTCATGGAACCCACTCATACAAATTGTCAATGTACTAGCGTGGTACCCGGGCCCAAGTTAGTGTACCGGCGTGGTATCCGTTCCTATTGTACTGGCGTGGTACCCGTTCTAGATGTTAGTGTATTGACGTGGTATTCGATCCCAATCATCAACACATAGCACAATCACACATGTACATTCATGTAACACATTCATTGCATGCGATTGATAATAGCTTACATTTCACATTATGTCATTGCGACTTCCCTAATCATATATCATGCATGCATTACTAACAGCGCAATTAACAAGCACATATAACATATACGAAAACAACAACTATCACCTACCTCGAATCAATCCCCAAAAATTCTAAAGAGCTAGAGCTTTCCCTTTGTTATGAACTCTGGCTTGTTCTTGGTCTAACAATAATAACAAATACAATAATCAATCAAAGATAACCTAATAATACTCAAATTATAACAAAATCCTAACCAAAGGCCATTCCCATGATCATTTTACCCAACAAGGGTTCCTTCCACCATTAATTCAAGTTAAAGCCTTTTCCCCAAAGTTAACAACCTAGATTCTAAGTATTAAGAATCAAAATACAAGTTGGGGGAAGTAATTAACTTACCTCTATCAAAGAAATTGGTGGAAAACAGAAGGAAACTACCCTAATTCGCCCTTTCTAGTTCCAAGAACGAAGTTGCAGAAAATAAGAGGTTTTTAATACTTTTCTGCACAAAACTCCGACTAACCGCGCTATAGCGGCCTGACTCGCTATAGTGGCATCATCATAGCGGTCCACCCACTATAGCGGGAATTAATTCATCCATCTATAGTGGTGTTACACCCGCTATAGCGGCTTGCACGGAGGTAGAAACTTGTAAATCCTTCCCCAAACCCCCATTTCGCAAAACACTTTCGAATTTTGATGCTCTAAACAAACCTCTCCACGTCAAGTCCAATTTCGGGAGTTTTATTCACCCGAATTCGATTCCGAAAAGCCCTATGGATTCCTTGATGTCTTAGCTACTAGGAAACACAATCCAAGCTTAGACATGCCACTCAATCCATTTGCAGATTGCCCTAGACCTCACCTTAGTCAGATTCTGTAGATTCTGTTTGAGACTGGCACAACTTAGAATTTTTAAGTCACTACTCAAAAAGTTTTCTGGCCCAATTCTTTCACCCTTGGCCTCCCAATAACGACCGGAAGGGGTTCGTTATAGTTCGAGTATAAGAATTGTTCAAAAGAATATCATAAAAACTTAATCAAAATGTTCCTTTGGGTAAGTTAAGGGGTTATGCCAATCTCTAAACATTGCCTTATTACTGTACAAATGAATTGGTCATTGAAGGTTTTCATGAAGTTCTACATTTTTCAATGACATTAACTAAAAATGTAAATAAATTGAGAGTGTAATTGAAAAAAAAAAATTGTACTTGCTTGATTTTTCAAAAATAACAAGTAAAAGTAGAAATCAAATTATAAAATATTGGACAAGTAAATCCAAACGGAGGTAGTATGCCTGAAGATCTATTTCTGTTGGAGATAAAAACATCTGCATTGTTCCTTCAAAACAATTATTGTTTTTTTTTCTCAATTTTTTGGATGGTCACAAGGTTAGCTTTGCAACCTATAGTTTAAGTAATTTTTGCACCGTTTTGCATAGACATTGAAAGTTGTTTTGTTTTCACTTTGTTCAGGTGATCTTGTCAATAAATTTATACTTAATTATCATCAAACCATCTGATTCTCTTATATCATTTAGGGAAAAAATGTAATATGTATGGAATTTTAATTTTATATATTTGCTTCATAGGCAGTTGTATAGCTTACTTTCAAAAGGGATATCAATATTAATTACAAGAGTTGATAACAAAGCAACTAAAACATTAGTCCATTATTTTGAATATACACTTTCTTTTTTTTGATAAAGTAAAGTTGTATTCTTCAGCAATGAGGGTATGCTGGCAACCATCAAAAAGATTTACATCAGTGACCCAAAAAGGACCAACTCAAGAAATTGCTACTAAACTTATAAAGAAGAGAAAAAATTTAAAATCTGTCCAGCATCCTCTATACCCTCCTCATTACACCAAAAACAGAAGGTCTTCATACAGCGCCATTTGATCTTTTGTACTGATTCTGCAGTATTTTCCATACACCTCTTGTTTCTTTCTCTCCAAATAGTCCACCATATACAAGAGGGTATCATGTTCCACCATTTCTTCTGGCTCTTACTCCCCCCTCTTCTCACCCAGCAACTAAGAAGGTCTGCAGTGTGTTCTGGCATTGTCCAGTTTGTGTGTGTTCTGCTAAGAAAAATGGCCCATAATTGAGCAGTGACTTTGCAATGGAGGAATAGATGGCTATTAGTCTCATTTGTCTCATTACACAGTGAACACCAGGAAGCTATTTCAAAGCCTCTTCTTTGCAGCTTCTCTTGAGTTAGCCAGGGCAATTATAAGTTATGACTCTACCCAAATAGGCATCACTCATGGGTATCAGAGTAACTCTTCCCATTGCTTTTACAGAAGTTCCTTCTTGTATTAACAAGTCGTGGAACATATCAGTATCTTTGATTAGTTAGGTGCTTTTTCTTATTAACAAATGAAATACCTATAGTTTAGTACACAATTGTCCATTCTCAATTCGTTTTAATGGATGATATGAAAGGTACTCTTCCGGTGAGTCTACATGGCTCCCCACCTTCAGAGTTAGTTCTTCTTCTGGTGAGTCTACATGGCTCTGATGTATCTCCACACTCCCCAACACATGGCATTGAAGCTGTCCTAAGACCCAAGGACTAAGTTCACCATATTTTGCCAATATCACTTCCCTCCAAAGGGTCTTCTCCTCACTGATTCATTCGGAGACTTTAATTCTGCACTCTCAAATTTTGGATTCCCAAGCCTCCCTTTCCTTTGCTTAGCATTACTGTATTCCATTCACTAGATGATAGCTCTTTTCTTCTTTGCCTCTTTTCCAGAGGAAGTTTCTTATGAGTTTATCTAATATTTTCACCACCTTAGAGGGAATAGGAAGTGGAGACATTACATAGGTGGGAAGTGAGTCTAATATTGATTTTATCAATATGGTTCTACCTCCCCGTGAGAGGTATTGAGTTTTCCATCTTGCTAACTTCTTTTTTGTCTTTTCCATGATTCCATCCCATATTTCTAAAGTTGTGCCTACTACCTAGTAGCATTCCCATAAGTGGTAGGTAGTCCCTCTACTCTACAACCAAGTATACTTATCAATATCTGAATCCGAGGAATTTCTTTGATAGGGATCAATCTACTTTTTGCCTAACTAGGATATCATCTGCATACAACAGATGACTGATCTCTTTTCCACCCCCATTTCTGGCTCCTATTTGAAAGCCCCTTAGCCATTGTTCTCTGTGGCTATTCTCATCAAGCTATTAAAATCTTCCAATGCCAATATAAACAAAAAGGCGGAGAGAGGGTTTCCTTGTCTCAATCCTCTTTCGGCATTGAAGAAACCTACTAGCTCTCCATTGACAAGGACAAAGAATCTAACTGTCTTCATACATGCCTCTATCCACTTCAACCATTTGGTCTATCTCATAGTGTTGAGTAAGAAAGACCAGTTAACATGGTCATAGGCTTTCTGAATGTCTAGTTTACAAAATTAATCCTGCATTCACATCTTTCATCCTTGAGTCTAAGTATACACTCACTAGCAATTAGGGCAACATCCATAATCCGTCTTCCCTTTATCAAAGTCATCTGATTTTTATTTACCAATTTATCCACCACCTTCTTTAGCTTTTCAGCAAGTAACTTAGCCATGATCTTGTACAATCCTCCAACCAGACTAATTGGTCTGTAATCTTTAAGATCTGAGGCTCCAAACTGTTTAGGTATTAATACAATAAAGGTTGCATTAAAACACTTCTCAAATTCTGATTAGAGTGAAATATGCCAAAGTCCCTATTATACTTCATCCCAGAAAGTGTGGGAAAAAAAAAATCATTGGAGAGCCATCTGGGTCTGGGGCTTTCTCCTTGGCACATAATTTGATGTTGTCCGGAATCTCCTCCTCATCGAAGGGTCTTTGTAAATAGGTATGCTCCTCTTCAGAAATCATAGAGAACTTGTTTTGAATTTTGAAGCTTATCATTATATTAATTGCTGCCCAGTCCGCCCCTTTGAGCATGCATCTTTTTTTGCACACCCTGCTTCATTAAGCACTTATAATGCACACTTAGCCGAACAACTAAAGTTGGAGGAAAGAGATAGTCGAGGTGTGAAATGGACCAATGATGAGGCACAAATGATGAAAATTTCCCCTCACCCTATGATAATTTACATGTCTAAGAAACTGCCTTGCCTCTCAAACTTGTCCTAATTTGCATACAGTTCTTCATCAATCTGAGGTTAGAATGGATTGGTTCCTCAAAGACAAGTCTCATTTCATCCCTCAAATAGTGTCCCAAATATCCAGAAACTAGCGGTTCTTATGTTTCAGGTACATCCAAGAGAAAGAAAGGACTTCAAAAAGAGTGAGAGAACTAAAAAATCCAATCATGGCATTTGACTCTAAGAAATTTGGCGTGCCAATGTTGTATCAAAAACTAAGCAGGGATATATTGTTGAGTTTAAGCTTAACTACAATGTCGCCTTCAAAACACTTGGGCATTTCTTACCTTCCAAATCACCCACCATATAGGGATTCCCATGTTTTGGAAGAAGATTAGATCAAACCTTTTTATGCCAGAAAGTAAAGAAATCTAGAGCCATATTTTATACCTGTTCAAAAAGAGAAATTTAGAGACAAAACTCAACATCTTAATGCTCTGGTGATAGAAATGTTTCCAAACCCTTGTGTATTTATAAAAAAAAAAATCTTATTTCCTTTTTATCACAATATATTTTATTCCTGAGGAAGCTACCTAATTTTACATTGCGCCAGTTAATTGCTTGTCTAATACTAATTAAGTAGTTGATAGTTCCCTTGTACTCACATAGTTACCTACTAATTGAGTGTTTGGATTGACTTATTTTAAGTGTTTTTGGCTAAGTTCTTTTTCTCTTTCTTGTAGTGTTTGGCAAAAATAGAAAGTGTTTTTAAGCACTTACTTTTAGGCCAGAAAAGTACAAAAATAAGTTAAAACCCAAAAGTTGGGTATTTCTAACTTATAGCTTTTAGGTATTTTTGAAAAGCCAATCCAAAAACCCTCTAAATCAAGACATTCCACCAATAGGTTGATGTGTCAATTAGTATGGTCGTGAAAAGTATCAGACATTGGGGTTGTAGGTTGGCCTGTCAATTAGTTTCATGGTCATGAAAAGTATCAAAAATTGGAGTTGGATCGGGGCCTCAAATGGTAAAGAGGGAAATAAGTAAAAGTTCCTTTTTATCCCATTCAGCATTAAACAAACTTCTCAACTTTAGTTTCTCCTTTTCTGGTGCTGTTCTAATATGGAAAAGTGAAGAACTCTCTACTATCCTGGTTCTAGTAGTGCAGTTCGCAACAAGAAATTAAGGTCTTCTCCTGGGAGACTTTTTCTACTTCTTGATTAAATGTTTACTTTACAGGCTGCAGATATAGAATTTGACCTCTCCAGATATATTTTGCACTAGTAAAAATTACACGCGCTTCGCGCGGTAATTTAATGTCATGGAATTTATAAAATATTACTTAAAACCCTATCGGGCATTAAAACTAAAACACTATATTATCTTGCATACAAGATTATGTAGTAACAAACACTAATAATATATGTAAAGGAAAATGAAAATTATTAAATCTTATCATTTATCCTTAATAACATAAGCATTAATTAATTAATTAATGATTGTAAAAATACATACCATATGTAACATAAGCAATGGTGTCAGTGAGCCACTCAACAGGAGCAAAGTACACAAATTAAGGAAATCCCTCTATTTATAGACAACAAAGGGTAGTATGAACAAATGTTTATTGTGTCTTATCACAAATGTTACAACTATTTGGAAAAGTTGCAACCCTTCGGAAAGGTCACAACTTTTCATTAAAGTCGCAACTTTTCATAAAAGTCGCAACTCTTCATAAAAGTCGCAACTGTTCATAAAAGTCACAACTTTTCATAAAAGTCACGTCTTTTCATGAAAGGAGAAGGGTTTTTTTGGAAATAAATAAATTTAAAAGGAAATTCTTGCTTGTGGTGGCGCCATGTAGGCGGGCCTAGGGTTCTCTTTTATATAAATATATGATTTGTCACAAAGCAAATACTGTGGTAATAGTCTAGAGAAAACAAAATGATACATACCAATACTGTCCAAACTTTGTGATACAGGCAGAACACCAATAGTTGATACGGCCCCATGTGACGGCCTAAACCCAAAGACACCACAAAATGCTACTGGGACTCTAATGCACCCAGTCGTATCGGTACCTGCAATAGATCAGACTCTATAACCATCTAGCATTCTGAACCCAAAGTGAATTTTTATTACAAATTAATACCACTCCAATTAGTTAAATAGAAGCCGGCCAACTTACAAATTAAATCTTTCATTCCATCATGTTCATACTTCGCAGATATATAAGATGAGGAAAACACAACTCAATGTTAAATCTATCCATAAGAGGAAGACAAAGGTAAGAGGAGGCCTAGACTATAGCAGGAATATATCTTTTTTAAGACGGGTGGTGTCTGGACTATCTTAGACGCACCTCGACTATTCCACAGGGTACCAATGACCCACCAGGTACTAGGTATAACTTTGCCACCAAGGCATATCAGATGGAAAGGATCACCGGGTGTTTTTTTCCTGGATTTGAACTGGAGACCTCATGGTTCTTCTCTCACTTCATTGACTACTAGGCCTCACGCAAACATTCTTGGTGACTAGAACATGAAAATATCTTCAACAACTCAAACATATTTGTGAGTCTAGTAACTTCATCATCTTCATACTTTAAACCATTATAGCTAAATTGAACAGACACAGGAAACGGAAGAAAAGGAAACTTTGAATCAGCGATTTTCAGTAACTGCAATTTAAATTGACAACCATACCTAAAGCAAAATCAACAAGTTCAGCTGCAACAGCAACAGCTGAACCACTGGATGAGCCACCTGGAATATGAGATGGCAATTTTGGATTAGTTGGAGTACCGTAGTGCACATTCTCTCCAGTAATCCTGAAACATTCCAACAGAGACATCAATTCCCTTCACTGAAATTGCATTGCTTCAAACACAAACTGTTTTCCTCAGCCAAAAGAAACACAGAGGGAGGAAAGAGAGTGTAGCAACAGATGATAGCCATGTATATATCTGAAAAACGTACTACTTCTGTTCCAACTTTTTTGCCAGTCTTCCCATTTCAAGAAATCCGTTTCTGGACACAGTAATATCGTAAGATTTGGCCCCAAGTCTGAAATATAATCTGTTATCCATGGGAAAGAAAGAATAAGGAAGAGAAAAAAAAAGGGATTGGGTTTTCCGGCAAAGGAAGTTCACCGGATTATGGCTTCCTAAGGACCAGAAGGGTCCCTATGAAATTGTCTTGGGATAAGTGCCTGAGAGCTTTTTCATTTCTCTTTTAATCTTTACCTGAGGCAAAAAAAGTTGAATATACACTTATCGCAACTTTATAGTGTATTGTTTAACATGGGTATTTATGTGCAAAGAACATATCCAGAAACTAGATATTGATAAGTGGTTGTGTAGTTGCAGAACGGTAGAGATATGCTTAATAGTTTGCACGTATTCAGAAACTAGATATTGGTAAGTGGCTGTGTTAGTGTAATTGCAGAACGGTAGAGATATGCTTAATAGTTCACTTGGGTTTCTGAATTGAAAGTTTTTTAGCTGTGTAATGAATAACGATCGATGTTATGTGCCTTTATGTTACCAGTTTGAGCAATTATTACTACGCAAATAGCTAAAGAAAAGAAAGCTCTCTTTCCAGTTGAGTGTTAGACATGAATATTTGTTTCATTACTTTTTCCTTCTTTTGTCTGTTTTAATTTAATCTAATTTAACTAAGTTATTTCATGTTGTCATTGATTGTTGTGCCGTATAAGTTTTTTTTAGTAACTTATACAGTGGGAAGCATAATCGATGACCCATTTTTCAAATCTCTTCACAGAACAAATTCATCTCAAAAACCCAACTTACTTTTGCTCCAAGAAAAAGCCTACCATCATTGCATAATCTACGGTACCTCTACTACTAGACTAACTTTGTTATCAATTGACTTTGATGGGAATCATAATTTTGACTTCACATGTACTTTAGATGGTTATGTCAATATGTTGCCATCTAAATGGGAGTTGACTTGCTTTGTTGATACCCAAGGGTTTTATGTATGTAACCCTAGTACTCAAGAATTGGTTAAGTTACCTAATCCTAGTTTTTGTGATGTTAAAGATGGTTGTGCTTTTGGGTATATAAAGGAGAGGAATGAGTATGTTGTGGTCAATGCCTGTCATAAAATTGTGAAATTGGGTGTGAGGTTTGAGGTAGACTGATGGTTGTTGTTTGAAAGATTGTTATTGGTGGTTGGTTAGTTCAAAATGCCCTTATTATCTTCGTTTGTGGGGAGTTTTGATTGAAAATAGTTGTTATTGGGTTGGATACAAGGACAAGTATGATAACACAAAGATTGGTGACATAATATCGTTCAATTTGGGGAAAGAGGAATTTAGTATAGTGGTGCTACCAGAAGGTCGTTCTTATCCTGCCAGAGTTTGTTTTTTAGTGGAATTGAAGGGGTTGTTGTATTTGGTTGATTCACCTGAGGATGAATCTTCCATGTATATTTGGGTGTTGAAAGATTCGAAGAATTATGTATACGCTAAGGAGTACAATATTGATCTGAGAATATTTTACCTCGGCTTAGATTTTATCACTCCTCTGGATTACAGGGAAGAGAAAATTCTTATGGATGCTAAATTTGGAAGTCTTGAGTGGTATGATGTGGAGAAGAAGTGCTTCAAGAGAATAGACAATCTAACGTCAGGACAATAGAAATGGTCTGTACTTTACACCGATGGCTTGTTTTCCTTGGGAAGCCGATAGCTAGGCATTTATAATGTTTTCAGGTGCTGTTTAAGGTTTGCTTCGCCAGCGGTAGTGCTTCACCCTTTGCTTAGAGTAAACCAGTTAAACATTGTTAACTCTGAGCAAACAATGATCTATCATTTTGTGGAGTTATCTTGTGGTGTTTGGGATGCATGTCAATGTCTGTAGTTGAATGATTGATTACATTTGAAATGATGTTGGAGGTACTTTCATGATAAAATTGTTTCATGATCATTATTCTTATTGTGTTATGTAGAAATTATTTAATGATGATGAGGTGATCCTAGTTTAATGTTGACTAAGAAAATTTATCCTGTTTATTATTATTAATAGCATGGATATTATCATTCTTCTTCCCATGTTTAGCTTTTTTCTTTCTACGGAAATAATGCTTATTGGCGTTACACATCAGAAGCTAATGTCATATTATCATTTACTTGACATGTGATATAAATTGACATCTCAGTGTTATATCACAAATCGACATCTCAGTGTTAACTAACTTTATTCTAGTCTATGAATATTGGATTCTAAAGATCTGAACTGAAAAGAAACTGGTGTGATTTTTTTGTGCTTAATGGACAGGACTGCAAATAGTGATGGTTATGAAACAGACGTGTTACTTAGGTATCTTAAATTGCTATTAGTGATGTTATGAAACAGATTCATGCTGCTTAAGGTATTGTAGATTGCAGAGGTTTAACTGGGTGCCTCAGCATCCTGCACAAATGATCTTCTTCTATCTGCAGTCTGCCGAAAGAAATGGTTATCGTCGTTGAAGTGCTTATTTTCGTTGCTGTCTTTGCAAGAAAAGAAGCTTTGAATTGCTGGTTTTCTTTAAAGCCTTACTACAAAATTTCTATTTGGGACAAAAAACTTGAAACTATTTCATGATCTGGTTTTGGCTGTAGTCATCATGCTAGTTAATCAAATATCTAGCAACAACAACATACCCAATGTATTTTCATAGAGTAAGATATGGGGATGGCAGAATGTATGCAGACCTCTCTACCAGTGACGGAGCCAGGATTTACATTGAGGGGTGTCAAAATACAAAGTAGTAAGCACAAAAAAAAAATCAACAAGATGAATTTTACTAATGAAAGCAAAACATAATTACATTATCACAATCGTACTCGACTCAGTTTCATCTCTTGAAATGTTTTTACAATAGCATCATTAGAAATATTAATAAATACATCTTTTTCTACGGGAACCAAACAACCACCGTTGCCGTTGCCATGACTGCAACAGAGATTGGGGATGGCCGACGAAGACGACTGGATAGCGTCACAGCAAAGTCAGCGACTCAGCAAACAGAAACGAGTTTTTTGGACTTTTCCTCAAAACCTTTGATTTTGCGACGAAGATGCAATGATTGCACAACTGCGAGGTCAGGATGAATATGATTTCCATGGTTTATCAGTTTTTCTGTAAGTGATTAGTTGTTTTACCATCGTGGATTATTTGTTGATAAATTTGACAGGTTAGCAGGTATGTATAGACATTTACTTTTGTATTATTATGAACTTCGGAATTGCGTATGATTGCCTATGTAATGTGTGTTTAAGTGGAATGTAGATGTAATATAGTTATAAGGTAACTATTAATAAGACATGAGATTGAGTAGTGTGGATTGAGAGTAATGTGTGTTTAAGTGGAATGTAGATGTAATATAGTTATCTGCATATGTAAATTGTTGTTTCTATTGATTTTGATTTTGTGATGTTTTACTTAGAACTCATTCGTCCAAGCCTGACCCTACCCTACCATCCGAACTTGTTGAATCAGCAGCTGGAATTGAATGAATCAGTGGTGGGTCTATTCCCGTGACTCGAATTCGCGGATTTCCTGGAGGTGTGGAGTTTAACTGAGATAAAACAGAATCAAAAGGGCTAGGAGCTCTGGCCGGTAACGAAACTAAAGCTTCGGAATTTGCGTCTAGTGGGGAGCTTTGTCATCTCAAAGAATAAGCGGATCTTCCCTTGCATGCGGATCTTAAAGTCGTGGATCTTTTGATGGCCGGTAGCTGCTTTCTGCTCTCCTTATTAGTGCCAACTCCGCTAGGTATAGGGAGGGAGTCTTCTACAAGTCGCATTACTGGTCACTCATTCAAGTTGACCTATGATATCTACTCAGTACGCGTGGTGTATTGATACTATTCTTGCTACACCTTTTGTTGATGTAAGTTGGTTTCAGGTTGTTTGAAGCGTGAGATGACGGTTTCTCCTCATCAACTTCTATCTACTTCCTTCATAAAGTGGAATCTGTATTGATCTTTTTATGTTATTCAGTTTATCTTCTGTTTGTACTATGTTAGAAGCTCTTGTATTTATCTAGACTAGGTCCATTTTTCTTTAGTTCGACTAATTCTATCCAATCTTCATCTTTTCTTTTTAAATTTTTTACTTTAATAATTTTTAAATCTTCATCTAATGTAGGTCATGAGTCACTCTACTTTGATATTTGTTGAAACTTCAAGTGCATATTTTGAATTTTATTCATTTCTTAGAGTATAAGAATTGTTCAAAAGAATTTCATAAAAACTTAAGTAATTAGAATGTTCTTTTGGGGCAAGTTAAAGGGGGTTATGTGAATCTCCAAACATTGTCTTACTTGACAGATAAATTGGTCGTCGAAGGTTTTCAAGAAGTTCTATATTTTTCAATGACATTAACTTAATGTAACTAAATTGAGGATATAATAGAAAGAAATTTTTTTTGTACTTCCTTGATTTTTCAAAAATAACAAGTAAAAGTAGAAATTAAATTAGGAAATATTTGACAAGTAAATTCGAATGGCATTGTTCCTTCAAAAAAATTATTTTTTTTTTTCGCATTTTTTTAGATGGTCACTAGGTTAGCTTTGCAACCTATTGTTTAAGTAATTCTTGCACCGTTTTGCATACATGTTGAAAGTTGTTTTGTTTCGTTTCATTTCATTTCTTTATCTTTTGTTTGTTTTAATCTAATTTAAGTTAGTTATTTCATATTGTAATTAATTGTTAGTTCTGTAGAAGTTATTTTGAGACATCCTTTTTTTTTTTTTTTTTTTTTTTTTTTTTTTTTTTTTAACTTGAAGATATTTTGAGACATCCTATTGTTTATGTAATACAAGAAAAGAGTGGATGAGAAGGCACGAAGAGGGATTG